TAAAAAAAAAAAAAAAAAAAAAAAAAAAGTAAAGGGGGGAGAAAAAAAAAGCTGCTGCCTCTCGTGGGTCAGTGCAGGAAGGGATTCGGGGGGAGCTGAGCTCTTTGAAAACTTTGGTTTCATTCCTCTTGTTGCACCTTGTTGTTCTCAGTCCAGTCTGCTGGGGACTGGCAGCCTTGTCTGGTACTGAAGCTTTTTTCCTTTCCGTCCCTTTTCCTTTTTCTTTTCCCCCCCCCCCAATGCTTTTTTTGGTCCCTGTCCCGTCACTGTGGAACCAGAACAAAGCACAAGCAAAGCATTGAACTGAACAAGCTTTCCTTGAAATCCGTGCTGGCACCGCTGCCTCTTTCAATTCTTGCAGTGCCCTCGCTGCTTTGCCACCGATGTTCTCTCATTCCCGGTGCCTCCGTCCCCGTTTGGGATTGAAACAGTCTCCTAAGAGCATGCAAAAATAATTAAAAACAACCAAAAAAAAAGTCTAGTCAAAGAATGAAACAAAGGGTAGTTGGCATGAATGGATTTTCCAGGTCCAAGAATGTGGAGTTTTGTGCTAAATCCCAGTTTGATAACCAGAGACAGTGCAGGGGAGGAAAATCATGATTTTAAATAATGTGGGAAGGGAAGAGCAGTCACAGTTTTTACTTCAGGGTCTGAGTGGAGCAATTCCATGGGGATCCACCTGGCTCCTCCTGACCTTTGGATTTGCTGTAGATTAAACTGAGCCCAAAATGCAGCAGGAGAGGAGCAGGGAGCTGAGGAGGGGACCTCAAATTCCCTGGGAAATAATAAAATACACGAGCTCCAAACCCAAAGGAGGAGTTTCTGCTCCAGGACCTTCTCCCTGTCATTACTTTAATTCTAAACTTGAATCCACGGCAGAGGCAGAGAGGTGGGGGAGGAAAATTTCCTTTAAATTTGTAAATCTCCGTTTAAAAAGGGAGAAAAATTCCCACTGTCAGAAATGTGGAGATTTTTCTGGGCTGGGTTTGGGTCCCACCCAGAACCTGGATCACAGAGAACAGGCCTAGCACTAAACCTGGAGCAACTAAAAGCTGGTTTTAAGCCATGTAGATGGTACAATCAGGAAATTCTCCTGCTTAAAGTGGAGGATTTTTACCACAGGAAAATTGATAATTATCCCTGTCAGCTGCCTAGAGCCAATTATTTCTTTATTTTGATTCAGAGAACGAGAAGTGCCCCGTTCAGGCAGAGCAGGTGCTGTGAGGCAGGGAACAGAAATCTGCAAAGCCTTTGCAAAAGGAGACTGAAAGTGTTGGAGTTCTTTGCTTTTCTCTCCTCCATGGCAATCCGCATTTGCAGGAGCTTGCTCTGCTCGGAGCTTGGTCAGGGAGTTTGATGCTGTGAGGTTTGCACGTGTTCCTGTCGGGGTGCACACAAAAGCCACGTTCCTGCTGCCACTCCTCTGGGAACCGGGAATTCTCGGATTTCGGGACCATAAAGGGATTTTTTTTAATTTTTTTTTGTTCGTTTTCGTGTGCTAGCTGGGATAAATCACTGTGTTCCGAGGAGGGTGTGACCCAAAAAAGTCCAGCAGGGCTGGAGTTGGTGTCCAGCAGCCGCTGGGGTGAAGGGAGAGGGAGAGCAGAGGTGCAGCCAGGTGAGGTTCTCACCTGAGCCCTGCTGGGGGCAGGGGTGAATTCCTGGCGTCACTCAGAAGGTTCCTTCTCTGCATTGCTGACACCTTCACGTTTTACATTTTAAATTTTGAATTTTGGATTTTGGATTTTCCTCCATCGCACAGTGGCGTGGCTTGGGAGGGACCTTAAAGCCCCCAGAGCTGCTGTGGTGGCCACAAACCCCAGAGCTTTGGTAGCCACAGGCCGTGTGTGTGGTAGCCACAGGCCGTGTGTTTGGTAGCCACAGGCCGTGTGTTTGGTAGCCACAGGCCGTGTGTGTGTTTGGTAGCCACAGGCCGTGTGTTTGGTAGCCACAGGCCGTGTGTTTGGTAGCCACAGGCCGTGTGTGTGTTTGGTAGCCACAGGCCGTGTGTTTGGTAGCCACAGGCCGTGTGTTTGGTAGCCAAGGCCGTGTGTTTGGTAGCCACAGGCCGTGTGTGTGTTTGGTAGCCAAGGCCGTGTGTTTGGTAGCCAAGGCCCTGTGTGTGTTTGGTAGCCAAGGCCGTGTGTTTGGTAGCCACAGGCCGTGTGTTTGGTGGCCACAGGCCGTGTGTGTGGTAGCCAAGGCCGTGTGTTTGGTAGCCACAGGCCGTGTGTGTGTGTTTGGTAGCCAAGGCCGTGTGTTTGGTGGCCACAGGCCGTGTGTGTGTGTTTGGTAGCCAAGGCCGTGTGTTTGGTAGCCACAGGCCGTGTGTGTGTTTGGTGGCCACAGGCCGTGTGTGTGTTTGGTAGCCACAGGCCGTGTGTGTGGTAGCCACAGGCCGTGTGTTTGGTAGCCAAGGCCGTGTGTTTGGTAGCCAAGGCCGTGTGTTTGGTAACCAAGGCCGTGTGTTTGGTAGCCACAGGCCGTGTGTGTGGTAGCCAAGGCCGTGTGTTTGGTAGCCACAGGCCGTGTGTTTGGTAGCCACAGGCCGTGTGTTTGGTGGCCACAGGCCGTGTGTTTGGTGGCCACAGGCCGTGTGTTTGGTAGCCACAGGCCGTGTGTGTGTTTGGTAGCCAAGGCCGTGTGTTTGGTAGCCAAGGCCGTGTGTGTGGTAGCCACAGGCCGTGTGTGTGTTTGGTAGCCAAGGCCGTGTGTTTGGTAGCCACAGGCCGTGTGTGGGGCGGTGGCTCCCAGCGAGGGGAGGGAGGTGTGGGGGGAGAAGGGACCAGCACCAGCTGTGGCTCCTGGTCCAGCCCTGGGGTTGTCTCTGAGAGCTGAGCCCAAGGGAGGTACCAACAATTTAGATTTTATTAATCTATTAAAGGAATCTTAATTAGGAGCCCATCGTGAACGATTTAATCTCCTGCTGCGCTGCCTCTGTTAAAATCTTCCATTTGTTCCCGAGTTGGCCGGGGGTGCTCGGGGACACCGAGACCCTCCCAGCCTGCCCGAGGCTGAAATGAGGAGGGGGCGATTTGTGACACGAGATTTGTGACAAAAGAAAAGAAAGATTTGTGACAAAAGAAAAGAAAGATTTGTGACAAACCCGCGGCATTCCCGGGGCTCCGGCAGGAGCGAACGTGGCTTTTTTGTGTGTCCTGGCTGCATGCTGAGCCCTCAGGATGCTCTGGGGCTTCCTCGGTGCTTTCGTGTGACCACAGTGATGCTGGGCTCGGTGCTGACCCCTGCGCCGGCCCCCGGCTGGGAGCAGGACCCGGCCCCGCAGTGAAAACAGCTCGGTTTGAATGTGGGGAATGGCTGGAGGGGCTGGCACTGCACAAACGGCTCCAGGTCTGGCTCGGGGGAAATCCCAGCCGGGAGCTCCCTGAGCGCGGAGAGGCTGAGCCGCCCTCTGCCTCCCCTCGGGCAATCCAAACGGCATTGAAGAATTGTTTCCTGAGAGGAAAAACATTCCAAACTCTGCAATTCCAAACTCTGCAAATCCAAACTCTGCAATTCCAAACTCTGCAAATCCAAAGAATTGTTTCCTGAGAGGAAAAACATTCCAAACTCTGCAATTCCAAACCCTGCAAATCCAAACTCTGCAATTCCAAACTCTGCAATTCCAAATTGTTTCCTGAAAGGAAAAACATTGCAAACTCTGCAATTCCAAACTCTGCAATTCCAAACTCTGCAATTCCAAACTCTGCAATTCCAAACTCTGCAATTCCAAACCCTGCAAATCCAAACTCTGCAATTCCAAACTCTGCAAATCCAAAGAATTGTTTCCTGAAAGGAAAAACATTCCAAACTCTGCAATTCCAAACCCTGCAAATCCAAACCCTGCAAATCCAAATTGTTTCCTGAAAGAACAAACAATTCAAACTCTGCAAATCCAAAGAATTGTTTCCTGAAAGAACCAATAATCCAAACTCTGCAAATAAAAAAAAATTGTTCTTCTGGAAGAACAAACAATCCAAACTCTGCCTGCAAATCCAAACTCTGCAAATCGAAATTGTTTCCTGAAAGAACAAACAATCCAAACTCTGCAAATCCAAAATCTGCAAATCCAAACAATTGTTCTTCTGGAAGAACAAGCAAGCCAAACTCTGCAAATCCAAAGAATCCAAATTCTGCAAATCCAAACAATTGTTTCCTGAAAGAACCAATAATCCAAACTCTGCAAATCCAAAGAATTGTTTTTCTGGAAGAACAAACAATCCAAACTCTGAAAATCCAAAGAATGCAAATTCTGCATATCCAAAGAATTGTTTTTCTGGAAGAACCAATAATCCAAACTTAGCAAATCCAAACAATTGTTTTTCTGGAAGAAAAACCATCCAAGCTCTGCAAATCCAAACAATTGTTTTTGTGGAAGAACAAACCACCCAAACTCTGCCAATCCCACCACCACGAGCCCGTTTCCTTTGGCACTCAGACCTTCCCCAGGTGCCTTGGAAGCAGAGTTTGGAGCAGAGGAAGGAATCGAGCACCAAATCCCGTGCGTGGCCAGCACCTGCAGGGTGCCAGTAGCCCACTCCCCTATTCCCCCCCTCCCCAAAAACCAGCTGTACTGATGCTTGCTGTCTTCCTGCCTCGTGTTTTATACTGAAACTTTTTCCCACCCCTTCCAACACAGGTGGTTGTCAATGCCTTGGTTGGCGCTATCCCTTCCATTATGAATGTCTTGTTGGTCTGCCTTATCTTCTGGCTGATTTTCAGCATTATGGGGGTTAACCTGTTTGCCGGGAAATATCATTACTGCTTTAATGAAACAGCTGAGCATCGCTTTGAGATAGATGTTGTTAACAACAAGACAGACTGCGAAGCTCTGATGCCTCCCAACTCCACGGAGATCCGGTGGAAGAACGTGAAAATTAACTTTGACAACGTTGGGGCAGGGTACCTGGCTCTGCTGCAAGTGGTAGGTTTGGGGGTTTGGGAGTGGGGGAACGGGAAATGTTGTGATTTTTGGGGGTGAAATGTAAAATAGGAAGGGCTGCGATTTCCGGGTGAAATACAAAATACAAAGTGATGTGATTTCTGGGTGAAATACAAAATACAAAGTGCTGCGATTTCTGGGTGAAATGTAAAATAGGAAGGGCTGCGATTTCTGGGTGAAATAT